ATTAAAACTAATTTCTATATAACGAATGTTCGAAACTTGAACAATTTTAAGATCAGAACTATTATAGAAATTGAAGTATTTGAAAAAGAAGTGTTGCAAAATATTATTATGTAACAAGAAGAATGTTGAATTTTCCTATCTTGTCTAAAAGTAATTACTGTGAAGATCACTCTTATATTTGTCTATAGAAATAAAAACTTGATAGTGTCAACTATCATATGAAAAAAAAGTCAGTTGATAAAGATCAGTCATTGCAGTTATGCAAAAAAAAAACATTTGGAACGGAACACAATTTTTTGTCCTATTAGCTGAATAGAGCTCTAGTTGTGTAAGACGAATGTTTCAAATTTTAAAACGAGTTTATGAAAGCCAGAATTTTAGGTCTATTCTCTCTTATATTTGAAATAACAGCATCTTGAAATCTTTTTTCAAATCATTTTTTTCTTATGTTACTCAACGAGTTCTATCCAACCAACATGACAAAACAAAATAATTGCACTGAAGTTTTGAATTTTGGAGACTGAACATACACTAAACATTCCTTAAAAATTGAATATCTTAGTCTCAATGTATGCATGCCATGGCAGTCTATACTTTGTATTTGGCATTGAGACCTCTAATTTGATCCGAATACATCTACTCATTTTTATTTACAATACAGTACTTGTCATCGTTAAGTGGTAATATTCAAACAAACTGTACAACTGTCAAACTTCAGTTATGAGAATTTATCAAGAATATGAGAATATATTTTGTGTGCTATTGTGCCAGTAAAACGAAAACTTGTTGATTTTCCTAAAGTATCTAATCGTAATGTCCTCAATGTTTAGAAAATACACATAACTAAAATCGATGAAATCTGATTCATTTGAAAGTTTGCAGCAAATAGTCGAAGAGACTAAAACTCAATACTGTAAAAAAAGTAAGAGTACGGATCGGGTCTGGGTCCACACTCTTGATCTATATCCAAAGAACTTTAATGAACAAGGCTTGACTCTTGTTTTAAAAAACATTTAATAAACTGGGTACAACATTTGAAATCCGACAAGCGGCATATCACACACTATTACTTGTATTAAAACAAAGTCACAGTTTTTATCATCATCTTCTATCTTTACGACAGATTTATGGTGTTGAATGCATACATAATATAGAAAAGCTCGAAATTTGTATAAGCACACTAATAAACTATGTCGCTTTGAATCATAACGAGATAGCTAGTTAACTTTGCACTTAAATAAGATTTTCCTTGTTAACAAAGCTAAACTTGAGCATGATCAAGCTTAGTTCCGTCATCCCTGTTTTAAATCTATTTAAAAGAATTTCAAAATATGATGAATATTTTACTATAATGTTATAGTTACTTCTCTGATTTTGAAATTCTTCTTTTTAATTAATTTGCTATTTGAAATAATTTCAAATTGACTTTTCTAGGAAAAGGTTTTTCAAAACTACATAGTCGTAAAGAACGACATGCTATCTCATCAAATACAAATGATAATAATATTAATTAGAGATGGACAGAGCAACTAAAAAGTCACCTCGTCATCACCCGATCCGGTCGTATGAAAAAATAATTTGAAAGGCAAATTTTTCGAGCATCCATGTAAGATACATACCACCGCAAATGGACATGCATTCAACTATTCAGATCGTTTTTAACTTGATTAAAACAGTTATCATAATTATTGATTTACATGGCAGCGAAAATTTTCCATGGCTGAGCTTAAATGGGAGGATTTTACCGCTCAATTAGGTACTAAGACCATCACAAAAGCCCAAACTCCTTATTTTGCGTTTGGCTCATGTTTTAGCTTTTTTTCTAATTTCAAGTTCTACTCTATCTATAATGTTTTAGGGCATTCTGCATTCGCTCGTCAATATGGGATCTTTCTACATTTATAGTAAATGAGGCTATGAAAGTAAATGACGTTGTGCAAGAAAATAAAAAAAAAAATTATATCATGTTGCTGAGTTCGCATGTATCTCTAGTTGTAAACAGCTATACTCCAAGGAATACGGTGATTTGCATGGCCCAATATGATGACCGTTCATCTTCGTGTTTTATAAAAACAAACACGATGATTTACGAAGATGAAAAAAGTGATTGTTTACTAGGAAAGCGTAAAACCTGAACGTTGGAGCTCACGTTCGTGCTTGATCTTGACTACAGTTTCTCAATAAAAAAGAAATAGAAGTAAATCAAAAGAAAGAGTTTCATAGTTGGCTATACTCGATTTCGATACAGTGGAATAAATAGCTCAAAATTTGAATAGCTGCAGACATCTTAAAAAGAAATCAATCATTTTTAGACATACTACTCGAACTTGACCGACTTTAAAGTGCTTCAAGAATTACTCACATACTTCAAGTAACGCTTGAATAATCGTCTAAAGGGGTGGTGGGTGTAAGCGTATCCATACAGAAGATCCACCCACATCCCACACCCTCTCTACTTAATATATTTTGTCACTGATGACTACTAATCACAAAACTATCGTTATCATGATAATTATTTCTGTTATCAATATTCAGCAGATCAACTTGTGATCCATCAACACATGTACAAGAAAAAGAATTATTAAGTAGCCTTTATTGTCTGAACGTATTCATTTCTGCGGCTGTGTACGCTAACCAATCAAAAATATTATTCTTTTCTATCTTTTCCTTTTCATATCAACATAAACCATTGATTTATTATGATCTGATGCCATCAAAATGTCTAAATTCAATATATTGAACAGAATAATATTAAGACAGCAATTTTTAATCATTTTTTCAATAGTCAATTTATGCATCATTTCATTAAACGTATAGCAAATCTAGTTTGAATATAATTTAATTTTTGTAAGAAAATAAAAAGAAGTAAATGTTAATCATAAATAATGAATTGAAATAGTAGAAGAAACCATTAATATTGGAAATAATTATAAAAATTCATTGATTTGTTTTATCTATAGTATCTCATTCAGAAAATATTCAATAAATTATATTCGAAAGAATTTTAATGAGAATAAGTACACTATATTATAATTTGCTCGACTACGTGTTGATTTGATTCTAAAAAAAAAAGAACCATAAACTGTTATTGAAAAACAAGGATGTTAGATAAGTAAGTCCCACAAGAGTACAATTTTACTTTAATAATATTGTAAAAAACCTTTTCTTCATATATTAATCATTGATTCCGACACTCATGTCACAGAATCAAAAATTCTTAGCACTCTATTAAATTTAAAGCAAGATGCCAGCTATAAAATGTTCAGTTTTGACCAAATTTTGATGTTAAAATTCGCTCTATAAATCACGTAAGAACATATTTTAGTAGTTTTCTATCAAATAACAAAAAAATGATAATATTCATGTTTATCTTATTCTTTAAACTAGAGTTGAACAACAACAAATAATACTGAAATAATTATAGTCATTTGTTTTCGACCGTTTGATTTTAGCTTATTAGTATCATGCAAGCATATTTAATCTTTGACAAGCTACTGCGTTTTATTGACAGGCTTAAAAAAGATCATCTTTATAATACAGGAAAATATTAGTGAAATTCTTCTGGCTGAACAAATGGTATGCCTTTATTACTAAGACTTTTCAGTTTAGTGTAATTGATACGTGCTACAACGTTGGTAAAATTGTGTATTACTATTGTCAGTGATTCTTATTGGATGCTAAGTATCCGTAAATCTTCATATTCAGAAGGATAAGATACAGAAATCAAATCCTTGTTGATGGATTTCCGCTTTTCTTTTTATGTTTGATTATTACATATAAATAATTCTTTAAGAAAATACTTATTTCGAGAAATGTGTTTGAAGAATTGATGTTTGATATGAAACTTTCGAATTGATACGAAAGGGACTAAACGAGAGATCTGCTCTTGGTCTTCATTGATCTAGTATTAACATATGGAGACCAACTTGTCCATATCTTCTTTCGATGAAAGTTCTATTCTAGTATTCTTGTTAATAACAGTTGTATTAATACTAGAAGTAAATTTATTTAGCCGTAGTATATAAATAAAAATATCATCAAAATATAAGTCGCATCAAGTCTTATTACTGACATAAAATAACATCAGTTGTTCAAGATTTATCATTGAACTCAATAATGAAATGTGTATTTCACCGAATGTATTAGGAAACAGTTTAATTCGAAAGGATTTTTTTCAATACACAATAATAGAGATCACATTTGTCTCGTTATCTATATTTGATAACTTAAACGGAACTTTTTTTTTCGTACAAATAATCAAGAAGAAAAAGATAATCATTAAAAATTTCGATATTAATATTCAATTTAATTAAAACTGATTACATACAATTTGTTGATGATAATTTACATATAAATAGAAATCAGCACCTTTCGATTAGAAAACAATTGACAAGAAATTAATTTGATTAAGCGCTTACATAAAGATAAAATCAATACGAAAAAATATTTGATAGTTTCAAAGATTTCTCTTGTTGACTTCCTGTAAGTATCGATAATAAGATATGTGATTTGTTGAGTAAGAAGATCATGAATAATGTAATTACTTTTAATTTAACAAACTAAGATGATAAGTAATTCGTGTGTAAAGTCTTGATTATTTTGTTAATTAAAACAAACAAAATAAAATAGTATACCTGTTAGATATTGAAAAAGTATTTCTTCTTGAAAATTCTTCGAATCTCAACAAACCTATCAAACATTTTACATACAATTTATTTTTCTTCGCTTCAGTATCAATTGGATTGATAGATCAACGAATTTAAGGAAATATTCATGTATTTTATTGATTTACGCCACTTCTACCTTCTTGTAAAAATGACTCTAAGCATTTTAGGTGAGAAATATGACTAATTCATGAATATCTGTGCTTCTTATGAAATATGGTCTATGATGGATGCAACATACTAATCTAAGACAAATATTTACTATTTTTTTTATGTTGGTCACCTATAAATGAAAACACACCTTTTATTTTTTCACAAATGAACAACGATTTTACCATGTTCTACTACACAACCTTTGCCATCATTGCTATTCTTATTAATAGTTCAAATGGCAAAATGGCAAGACCATTACCAAATGAACCGAAACCGTGCTGTCTACCGAAACAACATAGTTCACAAATGAGCATATCAACCGGTATAATATTGCCAGATGGTAAACCATATAGTTCGCACGTAAGTCATTCCTATTTGACATATTTGTCTCTGAACTATGAGTATTTAACTGAATAGTCAACCTATAATTTTTCATATGATTCGGATCGTGGTTTGGTTGCTATGAAAGGTGAAGCAATTTCAATACCAGATGGTCAAAAATCCCATTGGTGGATTATTGAAAATATGAAAGATGGTCAAACTTATACAATAGATCAAGATTCAAAAAAATGTTATAAATCAATAATAACACTAAAACCATTGTATTGTATACCAGGTATCTGAAACTTGTTTTTCATCATTTTTCGATTCGTGTCAATAACAATATGATATTATTTTATTCTGCTATAGAGACAGCAGTTTACCAATACTCGTCTACATATGGATATGGTGATAAACAAATTATTGGTGACACATGGCTTATAACAAAGGATGAAGCAATTTTGTATTTTACAGTTAGTAGTGATGGTTTGTGTATTCCATTGAATGGACATAATTACTCTCAGAATCCTGGTGAGTAACTCTGCCATGTTAAAATATCGGTCACTAATTTTCTCTTTCGTCATTTTAGCTACTGTTAATTCAACGACAATTGCAAATTTCGTACCGAAAATTCTTGATCCTAGTGCATTCGATATACCAGAAGTATGTAAAAACGTTGTTTCGTAATTATTTTGATTTTTCTTACTAATAAACAAACATTGAAATTCATCAATAGTATAATTTTATGATAGAATTTTGTTTAATGATGAAATAAATGGCAATCTTGTACCAAGCGCTATAACGGACAATTAGAGGTTGTGAACAGAGTGAGTGTAAGAATTAAATTCTTGACTCTGAAGTCGATGGTAAGAATCAGTTTAATAGACTCCTTTGATTGCAGACTCCAAAGAAATATGTAGCTATCATAACATTTTTGAGCCTTGCTAACGGATCTTACCAGGTGATTTATGAATTACGCTGCATACGTTTCGTACTGTGTTGATATCTGTTTTTTAAGAGAAAATAAAAAGTATATAGAATTAAAAAGAAATTGATATTGGCCTGTATCATTAAACAGGAGAAATATTCGACGTCGTTTAGCTCTAAAATAGTATAATCTTCTATCGCCAAAAATAGTACAATACCATCGAAAGTTTCAAATCAAATCTATGTGTAGGTCACCAATTGCATTGAATAAGAATATATATTTATCACAAACAACATTTATTTTAAAACAACAGAAGAATCTAAGAATACATATTCAATACAGGGGTGTGGGTGTGGGTGTGGGTGTGGGTGTGGGGGTGTGGGTGTGGGTGTGGGTGTGGGTGTGGGTGTGGGTGTGGGTGTGGATGTGGGTGTGGG